ATATGATACATCCATTTACAAGCTTCAGAATTGAATTTCCCACTACTTGTGAGAAAAGAAAAGGCCTTTTCTATTTTCGGTTTTTTTTTTTTTAAAAAAAAAAGAAAAAGGAAACGATGAACAACAACATGTTCATTGTTCCACTCGTACCTTTTTGTGTTTCTAAAATACACCTTTCCAACAGGATTGATTTGTTCAAAAAAATTAATTAATTAATTTTGCAGTGATTTTTTATTTCTGTACCAGTTTTGCTACTTAGGCACTCTTCATACTTGTGAGTCTTCTTGCTGCAGAAGCGGGGTCTTCTGATCATCAGATGGAGAACTCCTGCTTTGTGGTTTTTAATGCCCGCTTCATCATAACTGATGATTTGTCCCCAAATCAGGGTGTAGTGACCCAATCCGCATGCCAAAGCTCCTATGATGCTGCACGATCACGTTATTCACTTAACTCGATATATGTGTGGATAACAAAAATTATTTTATGCTAATAATTTAGAAGAGGGTTTTCAAGATTTACGGATTCACAAAATGTGTTTTTTTTTTTTTTTTTGGAATTTTTGTACTAAGGTTGGGTGTTTACTAGTCACTTGTTAAAAGAGACTCCTGTTAAGTGAGACATTATATATTAATTTTTAAAAATACAATTAATTTGGAAAATTGCCAAATATAAAATGGAAAACAGTGAAGTTAAATGTAATCTAAATATATATAAACAAATGTCCACTAAACACTTGTTTTAAAAATTCTCGTGAAATTAAACGTTTGATCTTACATGGTACTTCTTCATTAATGTTGCTCTGAACTTTTTGCTTGTAATTTAAATTTTAGAAGCTCTGCACCCATCGACGGTAACTTAACCATGAAATCTTCAACGTAATTTTTCGTCTACTAGCAAATTATATGGTACAAAGCAAATAAAGAGCGAAGATACTGACATTCTTTTTCCTTGCTCCTTTTTTGGATAACGAGTTTCAAGACAAAATTTTCTCGACATATTTTTCAATCATTTTTTTACCTTACATACATTTTTCTACAAAAACTTATAGTCCAAACAAGTTCTTGGCTTCCGCCAATAAACAAGAATTCGTTATACGTTTAAAAGATTAAGGGAATAAATAGGGGTAAAAAGAAAAAAAAAAAGTGTAAAGGTAAACAGAGGAAGCTACTACCTCCATTAGTGAAATGTATCTGCAAATAGGAAACAGCCAAACATGCTTGCAATGGGAATTCCCACTGGCTTGAATATAGAAGCAAAAAGAGGGCCTTTTTTCTGCATACACCAGAGGTGGACGCTGCTACGGATTACACTCCCAAAAATACCCTGTAAACATGCGTCAAAATATTTGCATGATTGGCAGGAATTTTCTAAAAAAAAAAATGCAATAAAATGCGATTTGGAAGATGCAAATGTAAAATATACTTACTGTTAGAATAATAACGAGAAGCTCCATGTCAAGCTTTAATTTCCAAGCATCGACATCTCTTTCTATGATTACCGAAAGTATGGCAGACAGGAGGGTCCCGACTAAGCTATAAAAAGAAACTATTTTCATGACATGTGGGTATTTTTCGACAGTTCCCACCTGACCCAACAACAAAAAAAATGAAATATAACTACAGTCTAATGTGATCAATTGTTTAGTAGCAAGATAGAAAGAAAAGCAGTTAAAAATACGTCTATGGATATCAAATTTGGTGTATACTAGTATAAGCTTAATTGTTAGAGAGAATATATATAGATGATGGATTTCACCTTACTACATTATATAACTAAGCGATAGTAATATTGGCTTTGTTCTCGTTGCTTTAGATTCTGTAAAATTGATTATGGAAAATAATTATAGAGAATAATTAAAGTCAGTAAAAGTTACTCTTTGATGGATTATGCATTTTAGCTTGTTTAGCTATTAAAGAAATCTATAATCTGAATACAAAATCAAACGGTAACATCATAAAAATTGATTTTTTAAAATCAAATTCTATAATTAAAATATAACAACTGAGAACCAACCCATTAAGAGTCTGTTTGATAACTCTACTTTATATTGAAAATTAATTCATTTGGTGTTTTCTAAATTCAGCATATTTGATAACATAAATGCCTTACCACTTCATGTATTAAGCACTCTTGATTTGTATACAAAATTTTAAGTAAAAAAGTTTCATTGAATTTCTTTTGAATTCACCACACATACTATACCTCACACACTCATAATACATTCTCATACTATTCTTGCATATGGTACAGATTTGTTTTCTTTATATTCGACACACTCGTATGCACACACACACACTCTCTTATATATAAATACACACATTTAAACACTACCTCTAAATTATTTTATTATTTTCTCTCTTCCACACATATGCAAATTTTTCTTTTTCTCCAAATACACAAATAAAGATAATTTTTTTTGAAAGTAGAAACACATTATTTGTGCGATATTTCAATTCAATATTGTAATCTAGTTAGTTATTAAACACGTGTAATTTAAATAATTCAGCACTTAATTTTTAGAATTCAAACTTCAATTTTATCAAACGGCCCTAAATCTTTAGCTAGGTCCACACAAAAGTTCTCGTGTATCATCTTTTATCGATGGAAAAATGCTTATAAAGGGGAAAAAAAGAAAGAAAAGAAGTGACAAAGAAGAAAATAGCGAGGTTACTCGTGCTTGCACATGTATGTACCTGAATAATATTCCAAACTGAAATTGCTAATGAAGCAGCTGCTAATAAAACGCAACCGAGAATCCAATTCTCATCCTGCGGTGAGGAAAAGATTAAAAGTGGCGGTGGAATTAGCTGCAGTGAAAATGAGGGCAGCGGAGACTGCTTGACCACAGGGCCCCTGTAGAGAGCGACCGATGTTGCTCCCACAAATGAAATCACGGTGCCATCGCTTTCACTTGACTGCTCAAGCTTTTCCAATCATTTTCCTTTCTTCTGTGCGGATGAATTCACTTAGCCACACTACCAAACAAAAACTCGAAAATAATTGCTTTAAATTCATTAAAGCGGACCACTGAACTTTCCCCTATGAGTATTGAGGGTGCTCACCTCGGCAGTACCTTGTTGCCGAGGTGACCTCGTTTCGTCTCTACACGAACACATTCATTCCCCGATCCGGACCCTGAGCTCGGCTCGGTCCATGGTCTCCTACTTGGATGACCTCTGCACCCTGGCTGTCACCTCGGCTAGACGCTGATGATGTCAACACCCCTGACGACACCCAGGACCAGTGCTTTATCTGAAAAGCACTGGGTGATCTTAATGACTGCTGCGCAGGACCCCGTCATCCGACCCAGGCGGCTACAGTGTCAAAGCCAGGCCTCCTGGCAGGGAACAGAGCCGTAATGTCAGGACATGGGTCCCACCGGCATGAACCCTCCGTCCTGACCTCCACTCCCACTCTATAAATACCCCTCCTGTACATTTCGCAAGTAAGCAGACTGTTCATTTGACAATACTACTGCTTTTCTCTCGTTCTCACACTAACTTGATCGTCAGAGTGATCCCAGGGGAGAAGCCCCGCCATTCACTTCGGACACACAGATACCACTCACCTCGGAGAGGCTGATTTCGGCTGGTTCAACCGCCCTCCAAAAATCACCTCCTCAATTGGCGCCGTCTGTGGGAACGAGATTACTGCTAAAATGAGATCCACGCGCTCCAGAAGTGGAAGAGTCCCCTCGACTGGGCTGGGCAGACATCGGAGCCCAGCAAGATCGTATTTCTGAAGAACAGGGTCCCCAAGGACCCAGCCCAACAACGAAGAAGCCATCGCCAAGATGGCCGAGTTCGTGCTGATAACCCAAACATCTTCGAGAACTGGGGAGGTACTTCAAGAGGCAGGGAAAGGAAAGCTGAATCCTCCAAGAGGAGACCGACGAAGTCCCCTGAAGTGCCTTCCGGCGAAGACTCCGATGAGGGGCACCTCTCTCGGAGCACTTCCAGGCGCGCCTCCTCCAAAGCGACATCAAAATCGCTTCCATCTCCCGGGCGTTTTCCCGGGGCCTCCTGGGAAAACGAGCTGAGGACCCACCTCGGCGTCCCGGAGGCTTAGCAGCCGAATACCTGAGGCTCCGCCCTTCACGGATGACATCAATGGGGAGATGGTCCCCCCAAACTTTAAACTTCCCGCCCTGCGTTCCTACGATGGCCGAGGTGACCCCGAGGATCACCTCCGCGCCTTCCTCTCGCTTTTCGGCTCTATTGCGTCCCCGACGCGGTAATTTGCCGAGCTTTCCCCATCTTCCTACAGGGCACGGCCCGAAAGTGGTTCTGGGGTTTAGAACCGAGGAGCATTTCCTCACTGGATGACTGATAGATCGGTTCATTCACCGCTTCGTATCATCTCGTCCGATTACGAAGACTTCAGCCTACCTCTTGAACCTGCAGCAAGCCCCCGGCGAGTCACTGCGCTCCTACGTGCAGAGGTTCAATGAGGAGAACGTGCAGATACCTGATCAGCACGAGCAGGTAACCATAGCTGCCTTCACCAATGGGCTGATCGCGGGAATCTTCAATACTGAGATACACCGGGATTACCCCCGCACACTTCGGAACTCTGGGATCGAGTAGATCAGGAATCCGAAGTGAAGATCTAAACCGCATGAAGCGAGAGGCTCAAGCCGCTCGTACCGGGCAAGATTCCCGGAGGAAAAAAGACGCCGGCCGAGTCGAACAAGGCCCCAGTGGCTCGTCGACTCAGTTCCGAGACCGCCGAAGTCTCTTCGACCGGATTGTGAAAGGCAGGTCGTCCACCTCGGACGCCGAGATGACACCTCTCAATTCCAGCCGGACCCATGTCCTGGCTGTGATGAGGCAGAATCACCTCGGCCGAAATCCCCCTGAAATTCCAGGGAGGAGAGATAAGAGGAACTCGAACCTCTATTGTGCCTACCACCGGGATGTTGGGTTGAAAAAGTTGTATGAAAGTGAAACTGTAATAGCTATGAAATGGTTAATCAAAAGTGTTTGCCATTGTCTTAAAGCATCAGCACAAAAATCAGTAATAAAGAATCCTACAAATTGAAATAACAATAACATGTTAAAAGATGGAAAAGAAAAACAGGCACACTGTTCACAAGCACAAAATAGAACACAGATTTTACCAAAGTATACAATTTTAGGTAGAAAAGAGAGATACCAATACAGCCTTCTTAGCCCCATCGTCAATCCTTTTAAAATGATCCTCATTCAATCCCAAGTCACCATAAAAAGCATCGTAATAGAAACCCTGCAAAAGCATCAACTCAGAGCATGAAAATACGATAAACATGCATTTTCTATCTAATTAACCAAAAAGGCAAAAGGGGGAACAGCTTAAATGCAAAATAGAAACAGGAGAGAACAGAAAACATTTAATGGTCAGCCTATATGAAAACGCTAATTCACCATATAGAGCAAAATCCAGTTTCTTGTGGGAATTTACGGGTCAAACAGAGAGCTAAGGTTCAACAAGTGACATATTGGAAGCTTTTGATTCCAAAGAATATTTAGTCACAAAAGCTTATCAGTGTAACGCAGAAGCACCTCCAACTTTAACATATTTAAAGAAGTTTTCAACGAGCCAACTCTGGCCATTCTAAACCTTGGATGTCAGATATTCGAGTGAATGCGTATACTACAAAGATGAAGAGCTAAAGCACCCAAATTAGTAAATTACCTCCCCTCTTGTGGTACATGGCCCAATGCACAATCTGCATCCATATGTCTGCTCTAGTGACTGAACAGGCAATAAAACACATCGAATTAACATCCACAATGCTCAATCAATATGCAGTTTTTACCAAATAAAACCAGAATGCAGCTGGGAAAACTCCAAAAAAAAAAAAAAGAGCACTGAACCTGGCCAAGGATGTGGGCGCTTGAATGCCAAAAGGTATCTCGCCCCTCATCGCTATCAAATGTAAACAGCTTCAGCTCACAGTCCCCCTCTAATGGCCTATGCATATCCCATAGAGCCCCGTCCACCTTAGCAATCAACGCATTAGATGCCAAGCTCTTGGAAATTTCCTTCGCCACATCAAACGGGGTAGTATTCCACTTCTTCCCCTCCTTCACTGACCCATCAGGTAACACAATCCTAACAAAACAAAACCCAAAGAAATAAATTATTCTTAAACGTAAGTCATTAATTCTTTATATTATATATAACTTAGAGGTTCAGGGTTTCGTACCTGATGGGGTCAGGGGACAGGGAGAGGCGCTGGAGTTTTTCCCGGTCTTGGATGGATTTGAAGAGGTCGATGCGTTTGTTGATAACTGTTGCGAGATAAGCTTCGTCTTTGGGGACGGAGGGGCCAGAATCATTCGAGGCTGTGCCCATTGGCAGGGGCGGCGAGTGCAATGAAGAGCAGTGGCGGAGTAGAAAGGTTCTAAAATGCAGAGCGGACGGCGGAGGAGGAAGACGGCGTAGGAGTAATGCGAAGCGCCAGCAGAGCTGGGAAGTTAAGAGCATACAGTCGTGGACGAAGGGTTTCAATTGAAGGAAAGTAGGATCAAACGTTGGAGGGTAAATGATACTAATAATACCCGGGTGAAAAATGCTATGTTTGAATTACCTGTTTTTTTACATTTTTAAAAATTTTTATTCTAGTAGTGTATATAAAAAAAATTTATTATAAAATTTTTGAAAAAAAATATTTGATATATTGTATAAATGAGATTTTTTTTTAGTTATTTTTATTTGTGTATTACTATAATATTGTATTTGAAAAATCTTTTTTTTTAAATGATCAATTCAAACAGAGACTTAAATTGATGCACATTGTGCAGATTGAGAGGATTATAAATATGTCAAACAAGAATCTGAAATTATAAAAATAAATGAAAACTAGGAGGAGGATGACCTTGTTAAAGCGTGGATTTGAAGTGGTGGGCTAGTGTAGAAGAGGAGAGTCCTTTTAACAAGCGTGGGTTCCAAGTAGTGGGCTACTAGTAGGAGGCTGTTTCGGGTTTGACTACTATAATATATTACTTGGGCTTTGATTATGATTAGGTGATTTTCTACTAACTTGAATAATAACCAATGAATTAAAGTGACCAGTTTACGTAGCAGCAAATTAATTATTTTGTAGTTCAACTTTTAAAGCCCTCCCTTTCTCTTCGTTTCTTTTGTAAAGCTTGGAGCATAGACTCGCACCCAAAAAATTTTTTTTTTTTGATTATTCCTAGTTTATGAATAAGAAGAAAACATAGGATGAGTGAGTATATGCTTAGTTAGATCATTAGTTTAACCAGCTAGAGCAACTAGAGTTTTTTTTTTGGCTTTAGCCAAAGCAACTAGAGTTGCTTAATCGAATTACAACTTTTCTCTAAACACGTTAAGAAAAGTGAAGAACTACTTGAAAGTTATATTTAATAACTCAATTCAGCACTTAAACTTAATAGATTCAGATCTTAATATATTCAAACCGTTTGATAAAAAAATATTAAATAACTGAATTAATTAAGTGGCACTAAATTTTTTAGACAAAATTTACTCCCAAAATTAAGTGATAAGCTATTTACTTATCACTAAATTTGATATGGACTCAAATATATTAGATTTAATACTTAATAATTCAATAAATTAATGGATTCAAAGTTCAATCTTATCAAACGCATCCTAAAAATCCATCGCTGGCCGGCTTTTCTGCAAGCTTAAGCTACTACTACTTTGTATTAAGCGTTATGGGAGAAATTTTACTAATTCAAGCAGTGGGTTCGGTGGAAGGGAAGGATAGTTTGGACAAGGTACTAGTTGGAGGCCGTGTTGGGGTTGTCTATTTATTTCAGCGGGTCATATTTGGGCTCTGGTTAATGTAATAACCACTGGCGTGGGCTACAAGGAATCACCATTTGATTTGGTGAATAAACAATTTGCACGTGTTTTTTCCCTTGTCAAAGAAGAAATCGGTAATCTTACCTAACCGGCAAATTGAGAAAAGGAAGCTGTTATAAACTAGTAAGTAGTAACCAAAAACGGGAAATACAAAAAAAAAAAAAGAAGCAGATTTGTGTAAGGGCATATTTCCCAAGTTGAAGCAAATCTAAGACTTTCCTTCAACCAATAGAACAAACTTACTTGTTTGTAAAGAAGGTTAACAAAGAATCTCAAATTATGTACGATAATTTTTAAGAAACTCAAAATTACTTGTGCCACAAGTTTTGGACGTCCGAGGAGGATGGAATGGGGTACGAGTTACTCGTCTTACTACACACAGCTTTTTCCCTTTTTTTTTGCTTAACAGTTGTCACTATTTATTCGGCAAATTAATCTAAGTTCTTCAATTTAGTATGAATTTCAAGTACTAAGAGTTTACCCTATACTTCTGCTAGTACCCAGGAAAAAAAAAACAAAAAGGTAGTTTAGCTCTTGCTAAATTGGTCGAACGTTTATAAAGGGGAAGAGGGAGGTTCAGAACGCAAAGTTGCTTCTTTATGTTCGTCAATAAACTTAAATATATCCTACCACGTAAGAGTAAAAAAAAGAAGAAGAAGAAGAAGAGGATTTTGTTCTTCAATTAGTAATTTGTGTATTTTAAATGTAAAAAGTAGAGGTTAAATAATCAGAATATCAAGTACCAGTTGCTCGCAAAGCAAAATATTCACATTTTAACTATGTTTCAACATAAAGCTCAAGATCATTGATTCAACCCAAAAAAAAAAAAAGAATGAAAGAAAGAAAGAAGCTCGAGGTGTTGTATACAACCGCTGAATTTGAATTTTGGATATACTGCCTATATTCTTTTGCATTTGCATGTTATTTGTACCTCATGTACTAAATGATTATAATTTACAAGAATAAATAAAAAAACATTAAACCGTAAAGAGAAAAAGGAGGAATATAATTGAGAGTTAAATTAGAAATTATCATTTTTTTTCCTTTTTTTAATTTTTGATTTTGTTGTGTGACATCTTAAGCGTTGCTAAACAATGGGTAACCTGGATTTCAAGAGAACCCAAAGAATTGTCCGAATCACAGCCCATGGACTATTGGTGAATTGTTTTTCTTCAGCGGAATTTCGTGGGTATTCGAAGACTCTCTTAGGTCGGGCATTGATTTGCCATTTAAAAGACTTGGGCTCGGGCAACTTAAGCTTAGTCGTCAAGAAAATATGCTAACAAAAAAGTCTCAATTTGTGGGAAATTTGTATCTTAATTTGACGTACAGTAAAATCTCTATAAATTAATAATTTATTAATTTATCAAGTTTACATACAATTCAAAAAAAAAACTCATTTAATCAACTAAAATTTTATTTTATTTTATAAAAATATGAATTATTTAATTAATAAAAGGAGGCTAATAGTTTATAGAATATAAACCAATCCTAATTTTCTTGATTTGAAAGTATAATTTAATTATATTAATATACGAAACTCATATCATTTTTCTATTATCAGAAGGCAAAAAGATTTAGAAACACTAAATGATACATATCCACTTCCATTTTATTAAATGCATACAAAGAATCAAATTAATAACATTATGTATGTAAATGACAAGCAAATCTTTTTAGAAATAACAAACACAAAATCTTCTTACATATCTCATTATTAAACTGTATCTTTCCAACAACGATTAATCAAATATATAAAGTATTATGTGAGTATGGTAGAAAGCATCCCACATACTTTCAAAAATAATTGCAACAATAGGTATTTGGAAAAAAAAACAACAATATAGTCATATTTTAGGAAAATATGATATATAATTTCAATGAAATATTAATTTATGAAATGCATGGGGCCAAAGAGTTACATAAGATTTTCAAAACAATTATTGTCATGTTATTTATTAAAATTATTAATTTAGCTCGTTAGTCCGAATCAAGACGAAAAATTATTATTTAACAGAAGTTATTAATTTATTTAGATTTTATTGTAATACAAAACTAAGAAACTTTTATAGCCAAAAAATGAACTAAATTCTTAATAACAAATCAATCTCCAATATGGAAATTAGAAACAATTTGGCTGGTAGAAATTTTTGTCAAAATTGTTAAGTCTTTTATTGTTAGACCATTATTGACTCTACATTCAATGGGAAGTTGGAATCTTTACATCAAACCCGGTATCCATGCATTACATAATTAGATGTGTTGGTTAGGGTTTCAGTCATGATATCACCATCTGCAGCAAATTTACCAATTCTTCTTATGCTCATTTATGCTCTATATCCTTTACACCACCCGATTCCCCGATTAATATCTTTCCTCCTTGTTTTTTTGTATTTTGTATTAGAGTAATAAGGAATTTTTCTCATAGCATCTTGTACTAAAAGATCTGAAAATTTTTGGTTAATTAAAAATTTTCAGTATTAATCTCAAAATCTTTGATTAGTTAAATATTTCCAGTATTAATATCAGCCACCGCATGCTCGAAAAGATAGTTAACCGTTTTATCCAAATTTGTCTGATCTATGCGTAATAAATGGCTTCATACTCCAAACTAATGCAACTAATTAACGATCCATAGGATAATTAATTTACAAACAACTTCACTAGCCACAAGACAGTTAAAAGTACTACATACTTTTAGGGTGGAGGGGGGGTGAGGGAAGAAAGAAAATATTGCATACTTATACATCTTATGAAGAGAAATGTACAAGTGAGATTGACAATTGAACAGTTTTACCTGCATAAATTAGTTGTTTAATGTGCGTTAAAAGTATTCAACTGATCAAATTTTTTTTCATACAAGGAATGCTAGAAGGAAAAAATAATCACCTTTCCATATGTAACAGTCACGTGAATAATTTTAAAATTTGGGTATGCATGGAAGGGAGATAAAATCGGTTATATTTTAGGAAATGAATACAAGGCTAATGCATATATTGTCTTGCATGGAAACTTGACATACTGAACGATTGCCTTAAGATTCTGATTCCCAAAATTTCATGAAATATTCTCATTCCTTTTAATTGCACAATCAACAAGGTAAGTTTCCATGGATATCACCCCGAAAACTCAATAAATAGAGCCTTCTCCTCCCCACCTTCACCACACAGAAGTTCGTCTCTTCAATCCCCAGTTAATATTCTTGTGAGAGTTTTTTGTGAGCTTTTGAGCAATTCTTGTGAGCGTTTTTGTGAGGTTTTTTTTTTTTTTTAGGAGATATTCCTGTGCGTTTTTGTTTATCATCAATGGAAAATCATGCAACTTTCAATGTTCTCATGCTCCCATGGCTGGCTCATGGACATGTCTCTCCTTACTTGGAACTAGTCAAGAAACTCACCGCCAGAAACTTCAATGTTTACCTGTGCTCTTCCCCGGCTACCCTCAGTTCTGTGAGATCAAAATTGACTGAAAAGTTTCTCAGTCAATTCATCTTGTTGAACTCCATCTTCCCAAGTTGCCAGAACTTCCTGCTGAATATCATACCACCAACGGCCTCCCACACCATCTGATGCCCACCCTCAAGGACGCTTTTGACATGGCTAAACCAAACTTTTGCAACGTGTTGAAAAGTTTGAAGCCTGACTTGCTTATTTACGATTTTCTTCAGCCATG